GTGGTGCCGGACGTGCCGCCGGAAAAACGTTTTCCCGCCGCGGGCTGGCACAGAGCCGAAACGGCCGGACGAAGTATGCGCACGCACTCTATGGTTCCTCATCGCCTCCCCTCGAAACGGTTTACGTGATATACCTAAAATATTATATACTATGTAGACGCGCTTTTTCTGCAGCACACATATCTATCAACCACGATCTCTCCCTCAGATTGTTTTATGCGGCTTTGAGATTTCGAATATAATATAATGCGATTGTATTGTATTTTCTAATATACGAACGAAAAGAAGAAAAACGAAAAAAACAGTTTTCACAGCGTAGGAAATGTTGAATCTACTATAAGCATATAAGATATTCTGATTTTAAAATTATCTATTTATAATATAATTTTACAGACGGCTGTTTATTTAGAAATATATTTCTTGAGAGATGATGATTTTAATATTATACATATAGATGTATCTAATATTATCTCTTACTTCTTACTCGCATGTTTTAAGAATTACGTGTTTAGAATGTTTAGATAGAGTAGTTGAATATTGTATTGGAATGATTTCCTTTTGAACTCAACAAATTTAATACTTTTGAGATGAAACCCGATCTCGGTGCAATTTTATTTCATTACATGCGGTACCAATACTTTACAAACTGACATAAAATTTATCAAAAACACGGAGTTTCATTGTATATCATATACAGATAGCGATGGCATAGTGACGATGGTCTTCGATGATCACAGGATGGCTTAGGTATATCTATATATCTATATATATATATATGTCGATTCCCACTTATACGATACGAGTGCCTATATATACGACACTCGTAAAACGATATTGAAACGACGTCTTTTGTGCGTGTATTATAGACATTGGAAAATAGAAATGTATACATATTAAAGGTGTATATATACCACTAAATTCCACTCGCAGGTTTTCAAAATAAAAACCGCTTAAGACGACAGTTTTTGAATTGATACCCATATTATATATATACAATATCGGGATTTGGGTCGCGCGCGCGAACAATAGCGACGAGGACGAATATACACTACCACGGTGGCGGGTATAAAAAAATATTATTCCGACCCTATATACTTCGCATACCGTTTTTGAATACATGATACAAAACCCCTGTCGTATATATAAATAGAACTGTAAAGTGGACCACGATAAAATGTTTATACTCTTTTTCTCCGTTCGATTGTATAGGAAATAACTAATAATTCAATATACGTGCGAAAACGATTCCATTGCTAATCTTTCAGTTGAATTGAACGTAAAAAGATAATTTAAATTCTCATCAATCATGTAAATTTATCACACCACGGGAACGGCATCATAAACGCTAATCGATTTCGATATCCATATACCTATGATATGATGCAATCTTGCATAAATTAGTTACGATTTATACGAGAGGTTAGGCCTGCATACTATAATTATACTATATGTTTATCTGTTTATACAAGTATGAGATGGAATCCAAGACAAATATGAGAAAACTATACACTGAAAAATAAAATATTAACTTCTAAATATGATATTAATCGCGTACACATATATGGTATTATAATAATTATTCCGGTTCCTAAAATGTAAATTAAAATATATAAAAAACTGTTTGGTACTWATATCATTTCGTTTTCGCTCTCGTTGTTCCGTACAAAATGTGCAATAAATATTATTGATTAACGAAACGCATACCATTATAATCGTATACAATATACAGTACATTGCATACATACGACTGCGTGCAACCACTCGACGCAAAAATATTATTATTTATCGATTTATAATAAATCCGTCACGACTACGGCTGCCTTAATAGGATTTTTATACGTAATAGGAACTTTCACCCGCTGCGGTTCAAGTGGCTCTCGTAGCGACGACATGACATACGCTACCGCTCTTGTCAGCTCGTCGTCGACGGCCAATAATTCGCAACACTCGAGAAAACAAGATAGAGAGGGAGCGAGAGGGACGTTGCAGTGCAGTGTGTGTATGTGTCTGAAATTAAATTCAAAAGCAATAAAAACCGTTTTCGAAATGTGTTTGTGTGTGTAAACAGCCTATACATACGTATAAATACAAATATATGTGTAAGAAAAACACCATACGCTTCGACCGTATATTATTATTACTTTGTAGCGCTGTGTAAAAGGGTGAATTCGGTTCACCGTGTGTTGCCAACAACGCGCGTAACAAGTGACAAAAGCGCATACGCGAAAATACGACATATATTTATTATATTTATTATTGTGCATCATATTATATATATAGGTAGGTACATCGGTGCTGACGGGCGCCCATCGTGAAAAAAAAAACCTCTTCAACTCTACTCTCGCCACTCCTCCCCGCGGTGTACGCAATCCTTTAAGACGATTTTCAGGCCCTCGCTGCAATGTTTTCGTACACACACTGTCGCACCCTCTGCGAATGTTACAACAATATATTATTATTATAAACTTATTGCTTTATAATATTAAGTTATATATTTTATATTTTACCATCGTCTCTATGAAAAATGAAACTCTCTCCGTCGCTTTTGGAGGCTTCGTAAGATCCTAGCGACATGCGAGTTATCGCCACTAAACATATTTCTATTTTCTGTATTCAATAATAATATTTATAATATGTACATATATTTTTATAGATGATCACAATTATTATGTAAACGTATATGTGCGCGTTGCAGTGATTTTTCGACGCGCCAGTATACATAATATACCTATAATAGGTACACTGCTGCATTATCTTTACTTTGATTTTGATGGATCGAGCGTGTAACGATGTAATAATATAATAAAATACTATTTAGGTATACCGTATAGGTAATAGTTATACGTTTTTAGAGACACGTTGTTTACTATTATGGACTCGTCGCTCGAAGATCCGTCTCAGATGAAAACCTGTTTCGTTTGGTTTGCGCCCAAACGTCGGCGGCAACCAAATGTAATTATAATAATATATGTATTCTGTTGGAAATGTATTTTACACGTTTCAGCGAGTAATAATAATTTAAAAACKAGAATTTAATAATCGTATTATTGTGATTATTACAAGGAACTAAAGTGCATATTTTATACTTATTCGTCTGATATTATATTGTAGGTATATAGAGACGCATAATAATATGCGCGCTAGTTCGATTAATAACAATCTACCTCGTTCGGTATTTCTATATTTTACAATTATTTTTAACGAACGACTTCGTGGACGACGTGTACCTATCTTTTATCATGGCCGTTCGATATTTTATTCGTGTAATAAACTTTACACACACCATATTTTATTGTTTGAGGATTAACCATCGGAACGAGGCAATTTTCGAACCATTCAATATTGATCGATAATAGACAAATTATTATAGAACTAAAAATATATTCTCGGCAAAATGAAACCGCCGAAGAGTTACAATTCAACAATTTCAGTTGAATTTGAACGGGAACAATGACGCTTAAATATCTCCTCTCGCTGCTACACACGCTGATATATATATAATATTAATTAATATCCCCGCGGTGAGCTTACGGCAGTGTGTGTGGGAATGCTTGCAGTCGGTGCTGTCACCGGGTGTGCGTATAGTGTGTGTGTGTTTTTTTTCCACCGCCACCGCCGCCACCACCGTTCCTCTTTACTTGAGTGACAGATCCAATTTGCTTCCCTACTTCTCTTCGAACAATAAAAACCGCTACCGTATCAGAAAATACCCACGGCCCGCATATATATTCGCATAATATAATATAATATATATATAATATTATTATTATACATATAATATAATACACACGTAATATTTTCGTCGCCATGGTCGGATAAACACGCATCGGAGGGGATGACGTTATGTTATGTTTTGCGTGTGTGGTCCTCTTTCATTCAGTCATTTTTTTAAAAAAAAAAACGCTTATTGCCAATAATTCAGCATAATATACCTATTTAATATCATGGTAGGCTAGCAATAGGCACGGGTCGATCAGAAATTCGTGTCACAACTCACAAGTTCGAAACATTTTTTTCAACCCAAATTGTCCATCAACTTACACCCATATCTCCATAATAATTTCCATATCAATTTCTCTAAAAGTGTCTTAAATAATCCTCATTAAATTTTATTCAAACACAAGGTGTACCTATAAAACAATTTATAATATTAATGTTAATGTCATTTTCAGATGATTCGGACCACTGTAACATGACAGCGGCGGCCGCGGCGATGGTACAGAGCTCAGCGGCTCTGTTCGGTTGTTCGGCGGCCGGTCATAGTGGTATCAACCAGCTGGGTGGAGTGTACGTCAACGGTCGCCCGTTGCCGGATTCGACGCGACAGAAAATCGTCGAGCTTGCGCACTCGGGCGCCAGGCCTTGTGACATATCCCGCATACTGCAGGTCTCCAACGGATGCGTTTCCAAAATACTCGGCAGGTGAGTGCTAACTCTAAGTTTAAGACAATTAATAGAAAATTAATCTTCACCAAAACGATAATACGGCGTGGGTATAAGACTGTAGTTTCAAAAATTYAACTCTCGATCATAGACATGCATTATTCCGTTGATTAAATAACACAACATATAGATATAGGCAACGCCAATGCAATCATTTATACTTTATAGATTATTATTTTTATTTCGATTTGAAATTTTAACTCACTGTGGCACATTATGACAGGAGGAGTGCCCTTAGTATTTAGAGCTAAATTTATTATAATTAATACCTACCTACCTAAGTTTAAAAGAACACCACGCCCACATGTATTCAGTATTTCAGTGTTGTATTTTAGTAGAAGTGTGATACATGTACCTACATATTGTACTTGCACTGCAACATAAAATAATTTGTGTTATAACTTATAAGCTTTAATTATATAGAGTGACTTATATTATCAAACTTAAAGCTAAAAAATGATCCATGTATTCCCGAGGATTTCTAAAGTATTATGAGAATTTTTATATTATTGCGATATTTTACATAGGTTCATAAATTGCTTTAAAATTAAAATATTGTCTAATATTCTTACCTTTTAGATTACATCGCTTTCTTATTAAAGGTTACTCACAAAATTAGAACAGCTGGATACAAAATATTTGATATATTGTACGGATCTATTATAAGACGGAAATAACACATATTATAGTTTGTCTTGTATACGTACGGGAAATTGGACAATTGGGCACAGAAATTTATGTTTACCTAAGATGGTTATAATAATATCGGAGGATTATAAAAAAATTTCCTAGTCTACGCATAATTGTGTATGGTATTTAAATTGTTAAGCGGGTGGTAAATGTTGATCTCTGATATATATTCACTATATTCTGTCATATGTGTTTATGATTACTTCGACGCCTCTGCCTTGACAACGATGAGATAATTACCTAAATATATAATACATCAAATTGTCATCTAAAATACAGAACTTGTATTTAAGTGTGATAAAGCTTAATAATATCTCGTCTGTTTCATCGCCGCAGGTATTACGAAACCGGTTCAATCAAGCCGCGTGCCATTGGCGGCTCGAAGCCGCGGGTTGCCACCAATGGCGTAGTGAACAAAATCGCCGACTACAAGCGCGAGTGTCCGTCCATCTTCGCTTGGGAGATCAGGGACCGGTTGCTGTCCGAAGGGGTGTGTAGCAACGACAACATACCCAGTGTGAGTACCTATACCTATATTATTTATTAACCTAATATTATACTAACACGCGTATTGTGTAACTATATATAAATATAATATTTTAGTATCATTACAATGATTATAAATTACAGTAACATAGTCGCGAAAAATCTTCAAATTTGACACTGTTTCAGAACAGCTCCTGAAATATGACAATATATTTCAGAACTGCTCGTAACGGAATTAGGTATACTGTATAGGGATAAATGTAAAACAATATTATAGTTTATAAGTACCTATTAATATTATTGTATCTGCACAGGTAAGTGATGATTAATATAGATATAGGAAATCGAGTAAATTATATACGATTTGAAATTCCGATGCGTTTTTTCCCTCGATTTCGGTAGGTTAGGTTTAGGTTTCAACTTTTTGATTCAACTTTTATTACCAACCAATAGATTTTTGTAGTAATAACGTCTCTGAACTATTTAAATCTTAATGTCATTTATGTTACTGTTTTAAATTGAAATAAAAATAATTAAAAACAGCGTATATGCTCAGAATTCACGACGATAATTAGGAATTTAAATTATTTTTAAAAATCACCATCTGTATTAATGCATCGAGCCGTATTAATGGTTGATTATTACTACCCCATAGAAATCTATAATACTACTGCTGTACGGACGCACGGCATCCCATTGGAATGCTTATTTGGGAATGCGATGTGAATTTTAAGTGCTTACGAAATCTTAAAAGAAATCAATAAGACAATACATATACGAAAATTAAAGTAAATAATAAAATGCTAATATAATATAACAGGTACAATATGTAATATATCGTGAATAATTGTTGTTAATGCTTAAATACCTACAAAAAGATTGATTCATATATTTATATATATGATATTGTGTATACAAGGCGCTTGGATATAATATTATAATAATGTAGGTACCTATACCTTTAGACGTTTTACAATCCCGAAATGGGTATTATTGTATTATTATTTTTGTCGAAGGGTCTATATATATATATATAGGGAAATCGATTCAGTCAATAAAACGCCCCCTCCTACCGTTCCGTATAGGAAAAAGATACTTTTTTTGGACAGAAAAAAAGACGAGAATATAATAATAATAATAAAACGTAAAATATGTTTTCTCATTTTCGTCCCTATCCAAAACACGCACATGTACACTTTTGTTACCAGTTTTCACGGACCGTCGCACTCAATTCCAAACACAATGTATATAAATATATATAAATCTTTTGCCTCTGTGAGGCGCATCGTTCATATATATATATATATATATATATCAATCATATACGCGGGGTAGATATTGCGGAATTACTTTTTAATACGAAAGTAGAAAAAAACTGTAGAAAAGGAATCTTTTGCTCTGTTGTGTGTCGGCTCGAATCCATAGTACCTATATGTACATGTCGACGTATGTGCCTCGATCATCCGGTCTCTTGTAAGCGCTGCATTCGCCGATGAATGTACATTTTTGTCGAGTGCCACTTATACGGGTCCTCTGAACAGCTATCATTATTATTCCGTCGTGTTGTTATGTGTGTATACGCATGATGTATATGTATTACTTGTAGGTATTATAGGTATTGTACCTACATAAGTTTATTCTTTCCTTCCGACCATTATTGTACATATTGTTGAGCGATCGCAACGACGAGGATCATAATAGATATTATAACGCACAGTTTCATATAATATACTACATTTAATATTGTGCGTTTTCAAGTGGTCCTGTAGAACAGCTGTGCAAAAAAGTTCGCTAACGTGATGGTGAATCCTATATAAATTATTAACTATTTAGTATTTTCCTATTTGTAACATTTTTTACTTTTGCACTACGTGACTACGTCACGTAGTTGTGTAATATATAAATATTTTTAAATATTAAAATATCAATTCATTAAAGCCTTATGTAATGTAGTCTGAAAAATTATTTAAAAATTATCTATTTAGATAATAATATATTAATATATTCAATAGACTAAACAATATTAAATACACATTTAGTGTATTCTAGCATATTCATGGTATGTAATTTTTTTATCTCAACGACCACCTAATCGGCACCTATTCGTTTGAATTAGCTGTTACCTTTTAATTTAATAGATTTAAAATAAGCGAGTGTAGACGATTCAGCTTGATGGAATACTCAATAACATACCGATGTTTGAGTGAATGGAATTAACTCTTTTCAATTCAGTAAAACGATAATGAATACATTTACTAATGAATAAATTCTCTTGAGCTTACGCGCCACACACCTTCTGCAGTACCTATATTCTGTGTTTTGTTGTTGGCCAAACAGCGAATAAAAATATACTAATAAAAATTATGAATAAAATTTTTCTTTTATACGAAAATAACCTAGAAATGTCCTCGAACGATGGGACACCCCGCCGTCAACCCTTATATTATACACATAGGTAAGCGTGTATATGTGCTGTGAGAAATATAATAATATAATATATATGTATATAAGTAGTTTGCTTTATACACATATTGTTCAAGTTGAATGTGGTTAAGTAAATTTTTTCCTCCATTCGTTAAGAATATAATATACGTAGGTACTCATTCCATCCCTGCAATACAATACCACCACGTTGGAAAAACTTGAACAAATTGCGGTATTTTAGCAATAATTGGACGTCAGAGGGCTATGTGATGGTGATGTAGGGGGTCTGGGGGGTCGAGGAAGGGCGCGACGCCGGTGCCAATTATTACAAGTGAAAAAAATAGAATTAGTCATGAACAAAAAAGTAAAAAAGCAGAACCGAAGAAAAGAGAGCGTGTTCGAGTGGTCGTTGCGCTCGTGCAGCAGTTTGTCCTCATGGGATGTGGGCCATTAAACCTACACCGACATTACGTGTGTGTATGTATGAAGTGCATGCGGTTTCCTCCCCATATATTTTTTTCACGACTCTCCACCAAACGGGTCAATTAACGACGATTTGTTGTTTTTAAAAGCACCGCGGTCGTCATTCGCGACGAAGCCACTTTAGAACAACATATATATAAATATTATTATTATTATTATTATTATGCGTCCTATAATCGCTTGTGTTAGTGGCGTTCCCAATAATATACTCGTTCGATCGACGATCACTCTACTAGACAATATATTATATTATAAAAAATCTAACGAGTCCTGACAGACTGATAAACGTTGAATCTAAACTGTAATAACTAAGGACAAAATATAAGTACCTACATAAGACCAAATATTATATTTACTTTATATTTGATGTAAAAATATTATTAAGGAAATTATCCTTATAGCACCTATATATAAAGTTTAGGACTCATCTCAAAAACCATTTATTCTAATTTCGATTGAGGTGCATCAACATTTTCAAAAAATTAATATGCTTAACGACTAATAGTAAAAAAAGGTAAGGTTAAAAAATTTTGTACCTACACCTTATAGGTACGACTATACGATACACTGCAGTATACATAGCTATATGTCTTAAAACGCGTATATAATATACAGAATATCACTATAATATTTGCACGGGCCCGCTACCACGATCATAATATATTGTGGAGGAGTAGGTAGAACTTGTCGGTGAGAAGACAGTGTACGGCGGTGGTGGTTGGGATAAAAGTTACATATATAGGTATTATATGTGTACACCGTATTATACACCGTCAGCGGTGGGGCGACCATCAGGGCGTGGAAAATTATTGCGGATTGGTCGGAAAATGCGTCGCGGGAAAACATGGCCGAGCCGGGAAAGCATAAAACATTGATCCGTATCGACAGGGTGGCGGCTGCAGTGGCGCCGGCGGCGGCTTTGGGGCCATATTTTCCTCTCGATTTCCGGTAGAAAAACACCTCCTCCACCTTTATCTACGGTAAATATAACAACACGTGAAACTCGCAGACGACTATTATATGTACACGATACACTTTATGACATATTATGTGTGTATGTGTATATCGTGTGGATATTATTTACCCGTTTTGCTCATTTCACGGTATTTTGGTGGGATCTACATTATGTAATATTTTGTATGAAAAAAAAACATTAAGTTACATTTTCTTTTCCCACACTGCATGATTCCAACCGATACATTATGATGATGTTTATATTCATATACCTATTATATACATAGTTAATTCGGAAGAACGATAATCGTGATTCGATGTACATAAAATACCAACATATTATATTATGTTTACCGTTATATAAACACCTATTACCACTCTAAATCGATTTATTCAATTAATTTTCATAATAAATATAATATCATATTATTCATATTAACTATTAATTCAATTTTCATCCATATGATGTAAGATTTATCAATAATATAATAACACACCAGTGTTTACTCAGCAGCTATATTTAAAAACATTTTTCATATGTTTTTTTTTATATTATACTCTTGTGGCTTGGCCTAGGCTGGTGTTATATTTAATGACATTGCATTTAAATATATGTTTTTCGAGAAGGTTATATTGTATATACGATACCTAATAATTCGTTATATTATTTACGTGCGCGTGTAGTCACTGAGTTGACTGTTTGCAACACGGTTTAGTTATATATATACATAATATACCCTAGGAAATTTGTCGTAAACAGGGGTCAAGCGTCCGAAGCCCCAAGTCGGGTCATCTGTCATCGCTAGCTTACATAAACGTCAACGGTAATGTTTCYCTAAAAAAATAAAACCAAATTGTACATAATATATTATAATATTATTGCGCGAACACCCTATATATTATATATACTGCTGCGGGGCAGTGTTGCGATTGAAAGTCTTCTGTTTAGGGTTGTTGTCCGGTGTCGGGTGTGCATGGACGGAAGCCCGTTGCGTGGTGTACGCGCCACGTTTTGCGCTCTGTAATTTTGTKGACTACGAAATAATAATAATAATAACAAAGAGAAGGAATTCCTCTTTTAAACTTTATACGACCATTGTGGCATTGTCATTTAAATAAGATATGACTATATATTTTATAGTTATAGAAATGTCTTTCGCCACCCATTCC